AGTCCCCGCCCCTTTTACGAAAACCTTGTAAATGCGATAGGGCTACAATTTTTAACGGATTGTTTTCAGTCGAAGCTATCCTTATCCAATTTGTTTAACATTTTAATAAGTTTCTGCTGCGTTGGCTAATTTTATTCTATATTACAGTGATGGGGTTGACATTATAAGATTTTAGATTAAAGTTGCTGTATTCGCGAATTGGTCTTAACAGATTAAATGAAGAATGGTATGGTTATTAGAGCAGTCCTCAACAACCTGTCCTGTTGGTTACTACCAGTGCTTAATATTAAAACAATAATACACAGATTTTTTATTTATTATTATAATATGAAATAATACTATACATGTATCATAGTTCCATCAGGGATCACAAAAACATTCACTGAACAAAACTATCAACTATTTCTTCAAAAAAAACCGATTGACTGTTGACTATTCTTTATTCCATATCAAAGAAAAATAAAGTTATCTCCCTTACATCGTAAAGCACATTAAACAATAATCCCATCGAACTTTTTCATCCAACAACTGGATCGAAGTCGCGACCTCTGGACCAGCGAACCAGCGTCTTACTAACTTAGCATCCGTGGCTGCTTATGAATGTCGTATAGTGAGATATAGTAAAATGTTTCTCAGTGAGTAGAACCTGGAGATCCCATGTTCGATTCCTACATTGGCCGAGAAACTTCATTACGATTCTCCGGCGTGGTCCCCATTCTCTGTGGTATAGGACTGGTGGGCCTTGTTGGGGACAATGTTCGCATGGTACGAAAAACCGAGGTCCCGTGTACACGTTGGCGTGCACATAAAAGATCCCTTGACAGATCTTATACATCTGGAGGTATAGAATGTGGGGGTTGGGTGGTCGACTGGTTTGACGTATGCGCGTTGGATCAGAAAGGATGTCATATAGTCAAGTGGCGTGGATTCGATTCCTCGGCTTGTACGTGACATTGTCGCCTACCCAACTTTGTGGATTTATTCTGGGTCCTCCGGCGGTTTTCCCCAACATCCTCTGTTGCTGTCTCTATATATTTGTCTATGTGTCTCCCTCTTTCTCTTGTTACCCACACTAACAATATCTGTCGTCATTTTATATAAAATGCATTTATAACATATAGAAGAACACCGCTAGATATAGTGTCAATATGATCTAGCGTGATAGTGGTAGCCTCTGTTACCAACTGTAACGATATCAGTGGTACTTGGCATACACAGTTATAGCCTATATGACAAAGGCTTATGTCACAGGTCATTATTTCAAAAATCGAATTTCTGAGAAACTGAAGCAATTTTAAGCATAAACAGTCTCAAGCCAAGAAAGAAAAATTGTGTGAGTGTTCTATGCGATTTAGACGTGTTGGCGAAATATAATACTTTTGAATTTTAGTTCATCTGTCTCGATATCGTATATTATATAAGCCCAATTGTTTGTTGTTGTTTTGTCCAGTTTCAACTCTTATTTGATATAACCAGTGTAACAGGCTGTAGTTTAAGATGGCAGAGAAGAAATAGTGTAGTATTTGTTTAAACGACTTTCACCAACCTGGAATAATCGATTGTCAACATTCGTTCTGTTTCATCTGTTTAGCCGATTATGTGAACAAAACCTCCACTAAAGATCAGTTGCAATGCCCATTATGCCGTTGTCTGATAAATGTTAGTGACGGGGGTCTGGATCGATTTAGACCCAAACTAATTAATATTCCACAATGTGATGTATGTACTGAAGATACATGTCAATATTTATGTAAATCATGTAAAACTATGCATAATAAGTTAAAGACCATGTTGTTTGTCGATATGATGAAAAACAGTTTTATTAAGCGTCTACTTCACACGAACCAATAAAGGAAAAAACTACCTCTATCACAAATCCTAAATATACTATACAAAAAAAGTAGGGGATATTTGATTTTGGGGGCATAATACTAAAATATGCAAATGACTACGAAAAAAGTCACTATAGAACCTAACAGAAGAAACATTTCCAGTTACATGTGACGCCCAAACGCACCAATAGCTACCGCATGGAATGCAGGTGATGCTTGGGATCATCATGGGGGTCCAACCCAAGATTTGCACGACTCTGACTTTGAATGTTACAGTCATTGTGGCATTGAATTCCAGGGTGGAAACATCAGTTTAATTGTTTTAGTGACCAGAAAACAAATTTTGATATGCGTCGGCTTACCCAAAATGAAAGGTTACGTGCCCTTGGCATGCTACAGATCGGCACAACATAGGCGGTTGTGGCGCGGACGATGAATGTTTCTCAGTCTGTCATAAGCAGGCTATGGTCCAGATACCGTGATACACAATCTGTACAGGACAGACCACGCTCAGGTCGACCAAGGGCGACAACTCAAGCCCAGGATCGATTTATCCGTACCTTGGCCTTGAGAAATCGTGTCATCACAGCAAATCAGATCAGCGCTCGTCTTCAAACAGACACTGGTGTGAGAGTTCGCGCCCGACGTCCTCGCGTGATCCCTTGTTTGAGAGATCATCACATTCAGGCAAGACGTCGTTGGTGTAGGGATCGTCAACACTGGGATAATCGACGCTGGAGCAATGTGATGTTTTCAGATGAGTCAAGGTTCACTGTTGATTTTTTGGACAGACGTAGGAGGGTGTGGCGTCGTCGAAACGAGCGCTTCCAAGACGTTAACGTCATCAGACATGATCGATTTGGGGGTGGTTCTGTCATGGTGTGGGGAGGCATCACTGTTGCTGGAAGAACGGCTTTACATGTTGTTGCAGGTCGTGTTACAGGCCAGTACTACCGGGACAACATCTTGGCAGTCCATGTTGTGCCGTTCGCACGACGTCATGGCCGCCGTTTTATCTTCCAGGATGACAACGCAAGATGTCACAGGGCCAGGATCGTTACAGGTTACCTCCAACAACAGAACATCACCACATTACCTTGGCCAGCACTGAGTCCCGACCTCTCCCCCATCGAGCATGTCTGGGACATGCTTGGACAGAGGTTACGTCAACGTCAACAACGTCCTGTCAATGTCCAAGAACTTGCTGCTGCGTTGCAACAGGAATGGGACAATCTGGACCAAAATGACCTTAGACGTCTCATTAGGAGTATGCCACGTCGGATCAATGCTTGTTTGGCAAACAGAGGAGGATTTACCCGTTACTGACTTGGTTGTGATGCTGTGGTAACTTTGCTGTTTGACCCCGGGTATCATTTTACCCTTATAATGGTCAGTCTGTGCCTTACTTAGTCTAACGATCATTTGGAATAAATCGATGAATGTGAACTTCATTTCATTTTGTCATTTGTTTCTTCGTCAGTTTCATTAGGTGACTTTAATAACACTTAAAAATCAAATATCCCCTACTTTTTTTGAATAGTATATTATGTCTCTGTCATGCAGAAGAGGCTGTAAAAGTCCACTATAAAGATGGCACCGTGGCCGTTTGTTGGATATGTTTCGTGGCCGATCATAATGGACACAATTATTTATATTTACAGGAAGATGAAGTGAGAAAAAGTATCGTACACGACTTAAAACCACCGAATGATAAATAAATATATAATAAAGATAAAAAAATAAAATAAAATTAAAACTAGAAATAAATGAAAAAAAAATATAAAATAAAACTAAAATAGAATAATATTACAACAATATTTTTTTTTTAAAAAATGAAAATAATATTAATTTAAATTATTCTTTTAAATGAATAAAAAAAGAATTAAATAAAAAATAAATAAAAGTATTAACATTTCATGAAAATAATATGTATATGCTATTGCAACCACAGTCCACCATAGAAATGTTTCGTAGAAAGCATCAATTAGACTCCCACAGACAAATGCATTAAGACAATACATGCAAATCCTCAATGGATTTAGCGTGCGCAGCGGACAAGTAAAGCGTGATCTAGTCTTGCGGATGGGACGAAAAACCCGGGTCCACCTGTGTCCTGTAAAAGTACATATGAGAAATGGAATGAAAAGTAGACAGAATTGCTGCTGCCTGTGCAAAATTCTCCTCCCAGGCCAGAAGGGGGACGTAAATTGTTTTTGAAATTATCTGTGAAAGAGCACTAGCCCACGATTAGCCACGCTAAATAGGTCAGTAGCCCGTAATTTGGTAGCCTCATTATTTTTGTTTTTGGTAGCCCGTTAGTTTTTTTGGTAGTTATTACAACCACGCCCCTAGTATTGTGTATCTTAAATTGGTCTTATTATATTAGGCAGCAACGGTGACTCAGTAAGTAAGAAGTTGTCTTGCTAACATAGAACAAGCCCCGTGTTCGATCCCGGTGTTGACTGCGGCAGTTCATCAGGATTTTTTTAGGCGTGGTCCCCCCTTGTCAGTGACAGACAATGTGAAGTCGCTCTGGTCGGAAGAATAACCGAGAAGGTTCCATGTACACGTATAATAACAGATAGCAGTTAGAATTCGATATAAGAGTAGACCGTAGTGCCGCTGTCCGACAACATTTCCTTCATTGTTCACTGTATGGCCTATGGTGTCTTCATTAGCCAAGTCTAGTCAGAACAGTAGGATGTTAAACCCCATTTTATTTCTCTGTCTAAGACGATTGGGGATATTGCTGATGATGGGTGCAGCAAGTAACAACATCAAGAATCCAAGCATCATTCCAGAAATTAAAGAGGGACTAATGATTTAGGTCAGTTTTTCCCTTTTCGATAATAAGTGAGTCAGAGTTGTTTTTAGGTTGATTTTATTTAAAAGTAGCGAATGACCCGGCGCTGCACGTGTTGAAAGTAGTATATCTCCAACGCCACCAGGCCTATGTTACTCCCCGGTCCGAGCTACACCTATACATCAAATTTCAGCGCCGGGACAGCACTGTAGTCGCCAACTCTGAGCCGACAGAGAGATAGACAGACAGACAAACGGCAACCACAGTATTAGTACGGATTATTTATATTTCGAATTAAAATGGTTTAATTTCTTCAGTTACATTGTATATTTGTGCAAATTAAACCATATGAATCTTTTACAAAAATAAGCACATGCACATTGTTCATGTTGCTGAAAACTATAATGTCTCTCTCAATGAATTTATCAATTCCTTTGTAATTGTAAATATATTTGATTCAATGCAGAATCTGACAGGCTTTCATTCCAAAAATTATCTGTTCTGGAGCCATTCATTGATCCGGTTAAAAGGCTACTGGTGCAGTCGACATGACTAGCATACCACCATCCGCCCCCGAATCTCTTGACACATTCCAAGTTATCAGTATAATCAACATCGTACGTAGAGAAGGGATTGTTGTTCAAGTTAATAGTACCAGTCAAACTGTCTCCACATGTTGTTCCATTACCAGTATAGCCACTGATATATAATGTATATGACGTCGATTTATTACCAACAACAACGTTGGTGTACTGACTGATGCAAGTTGATGCATCTGGTTTAACCAGGACTACCCGTAAGCTGTAGGTACTGCGCGGATTATCAAGTAGGGATAGTATTTGTTTCAAACCTAGCCATTTGTTAGACGCAACATTGCCAAAACCCTCTTCATATTGCTCCAGAGTTCTATTAAAGTTCTCATGTAAACAGTCCTTATTACGGCAGAGTATTCCAGTCCATCCACCATCGTCAAATGTACATAGTACTTCAACAGATTCAGGAGATGCATGCGGCTTTATGGTTGTCAATACTTTATTAGATGATCTCAAACCTTTCTGTGAACCTTCGGTGCAGTCTGAAACACAAAAAAATAATAACATTTCTCAAAGTTAAGAAACACTGAATAACACGTTAAAACAATTAAATATAACCCGACTCCTTCTAATGGTTACTGATTTGTTAAGAGACAATAACTCAACGGGGAATACTGTTGGCTCACATAAATGAAATGGGATTTAACGCCCTACTGTTCTGCTCCAACTGGGCTAATGAGAACGGGCATAAGCCATACAGTATTCAGTGAGGGAAATTTTGCCCGGCACCATGGCAGATCTTTTACGTGCATGCCATTGTGTCCATAGGACTTCGGGTTTACGTCCTATCCGAACGACTATGCGTTGTCCCTTGCCAGGAGCTCTGTCCTGCACCACTGAAAAGGAGGAACCACTCCGCATAATCCCAATGAACTTTCCCGAACACGGGACCTTCAGGTTAGCGGGACAACGTCTTACCCACTGAGCCATGCAAATGTCTTTGTTGAAATATGTAAAAATTATTTTTTCCAAGGCCCATCCCACATCCGCCTTTTAGGTCATTTAATCATCTTCAAAAATTCAGATTCGTTTGTTGTGGCTCACGTTACTAGTATTCGTTACGAAGTATTGTCTTCTTTCTGTATTTGGGTCTAATGGTTTAACGATTGAGCGTGAAATCACCAGCTCTGTCATTGAGTCAAGTGACGTGGTTTCGATTCCACGCTTGAACGTGACAAGGAATAGGACCGCTTGTCCAACATCCTGTGGTTTTCTCTAAACATCCTTGCGCGCAAGCGAATTATTGAAATAAAACTGAACCATGTGTGTCGAGTGGACAATAAACTCAATTTCTCTCTTTCTGTATTAAGAATTTGTAATATTTACATAGCATCTGTAACTCATATATTTGAAAATATACAAATGCATTAAATCTGTTAAACATGAAACAAGTGGTGGATGTTAATTTTACCTGATATGATATCGTGACAGCCTTGTCCATATTTACCTAAAGGACAGGTACAACCGGCACCCTCGCAACGAATGTTCTGTGAAATAAAAAACACAACTAGAGAATCCTAGTAGAAACGTCGCTTAGTAGTAAGCAGTAATTATACTACAGATAATTGTGACTACTGGGTAGAATGTTTTCTCACAGACTTGTATACACAACTGTGTAGTATGTTTTTTCACAGAAGTAAATAATGATTATGATCTTATTCTCCTACATAATAGACATAACAGACGCATGTGAGGAATAGTCGGTAAACTGACCAACTGGCTGATATGAATATGATTTATTTATTCTCCTACATCTAAGAGACTAACGTGGGGTAGGGAATAGTAGGTAACTTGACATTTACAAGCCATGACCTAATACAGCTAAATAGAGGATCAGGAGAGTGGAGTGGTTAATTGGTTAAATTCCTGAACAAAACTCAGTCAACGTTTCTGATTAATTACTACTAACCATTTATGAGTTGGCTGGTATAGTTTAATCACACAAGTAAATGATGAATAGGATTTTATTCCCCTAGACTAAAGCTGGACCCGAAATATATGGTAACTTGCCATGTTCGCATAACCTGGGTTCATTTACTATCCATAGCCATATAGCCCAATTAGTTGTCTTACTAAAGATGCAGTGTGTAAGATTTAGATAAAGAGATAGGCGTTTTTGCTATATACTAGTTCTAGTTCCGAAATGACCTAGTTTGTGTCGCGTGGACGTTAATACCCGGTCTCTCTTACCCCCCCTCTCTCCCCCTATATACTAGTTCACAAAGAAATAATGAACAATGAATATATATATTAATAATTTCATTCAAATAATTTTATTTTGGGCGAATTTATGAGTGTTGGAAGATGTTGTGTTGATTTTTTATTATCGTAGCAACGGTACCGGACAACGGCACATGTAAGTCTCGATTATCTATTTTGTCGTTAAGAACTGCAATAGCCAGATTTAGAGCTTACATAATACATTTTTTATTGATTTAAATATAAACTACTAAACCTGTGTGTAACAGGAACAACCAGTTGTATCACCAGACATAACACAATCTCTACCATCTTGATATAATTTACAAGATGAATTACGTGAACAATACAAATATCGTTTACAATCAGCTTTGTTTGTACAAGCTCGGGCACAATCCATTTTCAGAGACGTATAAATTGATTCCAGAAATCTACTTGGGTCACAGGTGTTAATCACAATACTAGATTTACTATATGAAGCATTTCGATAACTTCGGGCTGGAAACGAAAACAAAAATTAAAACATTTTAAAGGCACTGTCCTGGCTATAGTTTAGTCGATAGAAATGTGGAAATACGCCCACATTGCCGCCGTGTCTTGAAATACAGATACCCATAGACACCAGCTTATCTGAAAGGAAAACGTGATAGGAATCTGCCTTCAAGTAATATAACCTTTGTTACTGAGTGCTGAATATCCATAGAGTTCGTCTTCTTATAAATCACAATACTTCACATCGAATTTGAAACCAAATTGTTAAAACTGTAGCCTCAATTGAGTTAATAAGGTTTTCAACAAAAGTGTGTGTGGGGAGGCGCTGAATACTGATAATTATTTAGATCCACCACATTCATCATCCCAAACTTAGGCTGCCTGTCTACAGCTAGCTCCACCTGAGAACAGGCCCTAACCTAGTTAACCGACATTCTAATTCCTACATCGACGATGTTAGTCGAAAACACTGAGTATGCTTTTAGAAATTTTTAGAAGTATTTATTTCCCTTCTATCGTCATATTGAATGAAATTGAATATGTTTATTTAGCCGTTGTGTGTATGAAAGATGTCAAACTAATCAGAGCCGAATCACAAAATAGTCCTCTAATTATTCAATATGGCGGCGCGCATGAAAGATAATTTCACAGAGGCGGTTTTGTTTGAGAAGACAAATTTAGGAGTATCTAACCTTGTTTTGAAAGATAAACCGATTGAAACTCTAAAGACAGTTTACAATGGCAAAGCATGTATTGCAATATTACCCACTAGCACATATATATTATATATCGCTTTTACCGGAGTGGCAGAAGTTGACATTTTGCCAATGACATGTGTTTACATAAAACACGTGCTTGATCGGGTTATTTCTACTCTGTTGTGTACACAAAGCAGTAGTCCAGTCGATAAGTCCCGCCCCAAAATGATCACGTGAGCGTTTTAAATGGAGGGCAACTAGGGTAGTGGTCATAATCCTGAAGGATGGCGTAGTTGGATCGTTGTGTGCACATGTATATCATATTTATGAACTAAATATATAGATATAAAACCCATGTGTAACACGTTTTTATCTAATTTACAATGGGACGGGAAATTTCAAGAAACCTCACAGGTAACCGTGGTGGTTGGTGAAATGGATCCACTACTGTGGTAGTTGCAGTACTTAGCTCATCTATTTTTCGGAGGAGTGAACATGTCTCCACTACTGTGGTGGTTGGTGAAAATGGATAGAAGTACCCAGTTTTTGTCTAATTTAGAAGATTGGACGGGAACATTCAAGAGATCACACAGGTACTTGGAGGTACTTCCAACCACGCTTCTGTAGTGAACTGGATCTCCAGATAGAGCGGATTACTGTGGTAGAGTGGGCCCGGCTCTATCCGTTAATTCCGTTGAGGGTTCACTACTGTAGAGGTGTGGGAGTAGCCAACCAGGCAGCTGGCTCAGAAAGACTAACACCAGATTAATCAGCAACACTTTATTATCCGCTCAATACAAAAATAAATAGTTTCCGTCAAACACTCGTCAGCTCTAAAGTGTTCCTAATCGGACTCTCTTAATCGCTCCATGTCGGGCTCTCCGTATCGCTCCTAGAAGGGCTCTCTCTATCGTTCCCTATAAGTCGGGGTCAGACTCGTCAGTTAACTGGTATATGTCTTACCTCGGCTGATCACGATTCAACTCTTCGATTCCGCTAAATTGGGCAAGACAAGGTAGTATATACCCCACAATCACGTGACGTAAGCACGTGGTACAAGACACACCTACTGTTCCTGTCAATCATAAACACGTGCAGCCAATAGACAGCGGGCCGACGACAGCGCGTGTAGGGACGGAGTTATGAAATACATTTAAAATACCAATAAGACTTAAAATATGGGCTACATATTACAAAGTTAAAGTTCTTAAAAAGATGTACAATTAAATTAAATAATTACTAATTACTAAATAAGAAAACTAGGTCGTCTAAACTGAGGATGCGTGTGTGCAGATGTGTGTGGTGCGTATGTATGATGATCATGAGGTCATCAATGTCGTGGAGGACTTGCTAAGGTCACGTGACAAACTGGTTTTCTGACGAGTTAAATTTGCTGGAGAAACGGTAAAACAAGTGGATTATGTTGAAGAATAAATATAACAATATCCATATAGATCGCATATTACTTAGATGGTGGAGGGCCACCTCTAGTATACTTACATATTGACTTTCTACAGTAGACGGTACCCTTAAAATGTGATAGAGACGTTGCAGGCGCATTCGTCCAAATGGAATCAACCTTTGAAGTATGTAGAAGTTTTGCGTTCTTCCATGCACTGTCGTTAAATCTGCAATAATGTTACTGAGATTAGAAAACTGTTCAATGTAAGGTAAAAGAGTTCCTTTGACAGTTAAGCACATTCGGATTGAGTGCAAGCATCTCAAAGATGTTACATCCAAAAACTTCCGTTGTCAGTCATTACATAATTTATTTGCCGAACCGGGTCTATATAGATTTTTTGAAGGAGACACATTTTTATAGGAAGTTTTAATTTGCATATATATACTTGTTTTTCCATATTTTATGTTTAATTATTTGATATACATACAGTAATATTATTTAATCTTAAAAATGGTTAACTGTGGGTGATATTTGTTTTTATTTATGTATATTAATATTTTGTGATTTCATTTAATGTGTTTTGTAAATATGACCATATGTTTGGCGCAATATATCCCAGCTGGAGCTGACGTGTCATTAAACAATATTTCATTTAGTATAAAGTAAAAGAAGGCCCTTTTCTCTGACATATGGTTAGCGCGTGCTCGTAGTGTCATGAAGCCTGTCATTGAGTCAACTGGCGTGGTTTCGAATTCCCGGTTGTACGTGACAACGAGTAGGGTCGCATGTCCAACGTCGTGGGTTTTCCCTGGGTCCTCCGGTTTCCTCTCACTGCTAAAGACCCCCCCCCCCCTTACGCGTGTTAGTCCCGAAATGACCTCGTTTGTGTCGAGTGGACGTTAAACCCCATCTCTCGCTCTCTCTCTTTGATATATTAATACAAGATGGCTTGCTCTCTGGCATATTAATACAGGATGGCTTGCTGTCTGATATATTAATACAAGACGGCCTACTCTCTGACATATTAATACAAGATGGCTTGCTGTCTGATATATTAATACAAGATGGCTTGCTGTCTGATATATCAATACAAGACGGCTTGCTGTCTGATATATTAATACAAGACGGTCTGCTCTCTGATATTTTAATACAAGATGGCTTGCTGTCTGATATATTAATACAAGACGGTCTGATCTCTGATATATTAATACAAGATGTGAGATACAAAATGGTGTTTAACTTCCCACTTTTGTGTCAACCGAACGGCTACAGGCTGTTCCATACCCCACCCTTCACACTGCACCAAATTGAAACCACAACGAACCCTGTCCCACTGATACAGTGAACCCACGTCGGAAAACCTTAGATCACGTTAGCGAGTCGGCATTTTACTTATTGAGCCACCATGGTTCTAGTCTCGTCACCCAGTACCCCCTAGTCTTCAACTTAAGGAGGGTCGGGGACCGTTGTCAAATTTTGACGAAAGTTCCATTGTCCATTCGTAACCGGGAGTTGGTTTTTTATGTGATGCATTATCCAGTATTTGTCGCCAAGTCGAGTATGAGTTGGGCCCCTTCCCGCATTAAATTCCACAATTCTTTCATTATTATAAACAAACATGAATCGTGACAACGAACTAGGGTTATTTTTTTAAAAAAAAAACCCCATAGATATGGCCCATTAAGAAAGAAATTGTACAATAAAAACAATTAAGAGTGTCGGATATTGAACTGACGATGCTATCAAGTGGATTTTATGGAATGATATTCTTCAGTTAATTTCACGGGCGTCGACATCTGGAATCAGACTAGTAATTATTTCCCCTTAGACAATTTTCCCCTTTTTTTTTACCCCTTCTTCCTGTATTTTTGGGTTTACCTTTTGATTTAGAATTGGAAATAAGGGATCACATTTGCAATTTCATAGCATTTCTGGGTAATACTGATGATATTACAGCGGAGGGATAGGGGGTGTAAAGTATCTTTTTGCAGAGAAATCATTGTGTCGGAAGTAAGATTTTCACCCCAGTAAACATCAAATCCCCGTAGCAAAAGAAATCTAAACGGTCAACCCCCTAAAAAATTATGATGAGGAGATTGCCAAATGTCGTCCCCATTGTGCCTATAAAGATGGGAACCAACGTAATGTTGAGCAAAAAGTTACAGCCTGTGATGTTACAGCCATTTAACATTGTAGTCAATGGGCAAATTATTGCTAGTCTGAGACCATCTTATTTTCGGTCTAGTTATCTCCCTTAGACTTTTTTGTACGATAATGTGAATGGCTGAATAATCTAGCCAATGACCTACAGTATTATTCTCAAATGTTGACAAGGCATCCAGAATAATATTCGTGGAATATTTTCTGGATGAAAGAGAATACTATGGCTTCTCTCATCGTTGGCAGAGACATGCTAAGTCTTACGACATTACTATTACATGTATTTAGAACTGTAGCCGACATTTCAACTTACCCAATATTGTTCCAACCGTCTTCCTCTTCTTCTGAACATTTCCAGCTTGTATCAGTTCTAACACCGTTACTGAAACCAACGTTGAGACCACGCTCTCCCCATTGATTAAGACACTTAATTGCTACCAGTTTTGTACTGCTGGATATGTTGATGGATGACAGACCATTAATATTGTCATCATTTTCATGTTTATATTGAATACCATCTGCGTAGAATTCAATTTTCTGAAGGCAGTGTACCTCCGCAGTTATATTTAGACTGGCTGCAAAAATAAAAATATACACTTTATACAAAAGACCAGAAACAGAAAGGATTATTTGATTTGCAAACACCGTTTTTAAGTTTAACTTTAAAGAGAACCAACAATCAAATGAAACCAATAAGAGAGAGAGAGATAGATAGAGAGAGAGAGAGAGAGAGAGAGAGAGGGGGGTTTAACGTCCACTCGACACAAATTAGATCATATCGGGAGTACATAACACACGGTTCAATTTTATTTCAATAATTCGCTTGCGCGTAGGGGTCTTTAGCAGTGAGAGGAAACCGGGGGACCCAGAGAAAACCCATGAGGTTGGCGAAGCGACCCTACTCCTTGTCACGTACAACCGGGGAATCGAAACCGCGCCAGTTGACTCAATGACAGACCGTATGATACAGCAAGCACGTGCTAACCATTCGGCCATCCCCCCACCACCCTACCAATAAAATAATATTTTATCCATTAATCCGTTGATCTGGGCTAATCGAACGCCAAAATGAATCCAAAAAAAGAATAGTTTATCCATTGATCCGTTGATGCGGGCTAATCGAACGCCAAAATGAAAACAAGTCATGGCTGGAAGTTCGATTCAAGCGCGTGACTAGAGCGGGGTTTCCCGGCATCTATTATTCTTCATTATAGCGAAAACTAACGGGTGGAGCATTCCTCACATTGTAACCTCATAGTGGCCTATCCTGCTCTCCGTGAAAAGGGATCGATGAGGCTCCGTATCTCTGCTATACAGACCGGGAGCCTAGGTGTGGGGTGGGGGTCGGACTAGCTGAACTTTTCACCTATATGGTATCAATGCATGTATATCTGGTATCATCTGAATGTAAGTCTGCCGAGTATCTGGTGGTTGGTGTGACTGTGACGGCTAGGACTCTAGGTATGAATTGTTGTGCTAGATTAGCCAAAAAGTGTACCGAATGAATATGGTACTGGTACAGTAATTTACCTTACAAAAACACCCCTACAGACATTTCTAGTGGTGGGGTATCCTCGACAGAGTTGCCAGACCACAGCTGGGCTAGATTAGCTGAAACCTGTTATGGAGTTGTTCAGCACCACCACAGGAATCATGAATGATCACTGCCAGACAGTTTGTGCAGTGGGTCACCAATAACTAGGCAAGTTTAGCTGAATTCCGTACCGCCTAAAACTGCTTGGAAGTTGTTCCGCACCACCACTACCAGACAGTAAATGACCCAGAAAACCTATATTTTAATATACTACACATCTTTCTGGGAACTTTATGAGTTTCCCTCCAAAATGAGCCTCCAGTTTGAATAATGTCACCCAAGCGGAATTAGCCATCAATTTTAGGAGGATTACCCAAATTCATTGGACTTAGTGGGTCAAATTCTAATAGAAACCACCTCCATAACGGGGTCAGAGAGAATCTGTCCCGAATTTTACCCCACTAAATTAAAGGAAATAACCAGAAAATCTAACATGTCGGTCATCTTGAATATTTAAATTTCCCCAAGGGTGGCATCATCCAGATATGTAATCCACCCCAAAACACTAGGTGGACTATATTTCCATGTCAAGGCTTTAAATGGAGTTTGACAACGGGACTTTGATGCATATATAATCTTAAACGCCGATGGGTGGTATGTCAGTGGTCACTTAGTTGAACCACCACTGATTATTCTTCATACGATTACTAAATCTTTAATAGATATTACATACTAATGAAAATATGTAATACCCATAATTCTCCATAAGTGTCATCCAGATGGCAAAGCAACTTTGTTGGGAGGGAGGGGCGATCGGTGGGGACAACCCACCACACAAACTCCCTTGCAATGGGCAGTGTGATCCCAGGGGTGCTGAACAGTTTCCAAGCAGTTTTAGGTGGTACGCATTTCAGCTAATCTAGGTGCGGGGCGTGGCATTTTGGATGTGTCTGTCAATGTCAGGGGTACACCACCGCATAAACTGTCTTGTAGTAGTCATTCATGATTCCCGTGATGCTGCTGAACAACTTCCGAGCAGTTCCAGGTGATACAGGCTTAAGCTAATCTAGTGTAGTTGTGGGGCGTACCCCTGCATAAACTGTCTTGTAGTAGTCATTCATGATTCCCGTGATGCTGCTGAACAACTTCCGAGCAGTTCCAGGTGATACAGGCTTAAGCTAATCTAGTGTAGTTGTGGGGCGGGGCATTTTGGGCGTGTCTGTCAGTGGTAGCCACCGCACAATCTGTCTGGTAGTGGTGCTGAAGAATTTCCAAGCAATTTAAGGTGCTATGGACTCAAGCTAATATAGCCTAGTTAGAGGTGTTGTTTTTTGGGCATATCTGTCGAGGTAACTCACCACAAAAACTGTCTTCCAGTGATCATTCTTGATTCCTGTTGTGGTGCTGAGCAACTTCCAGGATTTCAACTAATCTAGCCTAGTTGCGGTCTGGTAATTATACAACTCTACCAGGGGTTTCCCACCACTAGCAATGTCTGTCGGAGTGGTTTTGTAATACTTG